GTCTGGGTGGTGTCTTTTCTGTGTTCATCACTCAAGGCACATCCTTGGCCTCACCAACCACCACCAGATCGCAGAATCACAAAGTGGTTTGGGTTGAGTAGGACATTAAACACTATCCAGTTCCAAACCTCTTCCATGGGTAGGAACAAATTATGAAGAAAAAGGAATGTTTTGCTTAAGTTTAACATAGGCACAAAAAGTTCAGTTGTAAGAAAAGCAATTCAAATATGTTGGAGTGTGATTTAAAATGGTGACCTGACTCTGACTGCCTCCTGTTTTACTACCAGGCTCCCAGATGAACATTTTTTAACACACAGATTTATCCTCACCAACGTCAGCAGTGCTGAAGGAAAGCCAGGGAAAGAGTTAAGATGGGCCAAGGCATTAAGAGGCTTTGGAGCATGGGAAATACCAAACAAAATGATTGCAAAGGGGAAATATTTTTATATCTAGTTACGATATATCCACATTTCTTACAGGCTAATAACAGACTAGTTGTTTCTCTGCCTGAGAAGCTGTAATAAATCAGATACCTGCTTTGCCCTGGACTGTGTGGAAAAAACCTTCATTTCCTGTTGAGATAAATAGAGATGGGCTGCAGTGTGCAGCGTGGGGTCAGGCTGTACGTGGCATTCAGGTACTGCAGGGTGGAGAGTAAAGTATAGGTTGGGTGGTAATGAGGTACAAGGTAATGCAGGAGAGTGTATCCCGCTGGATACTGCAAGCTGGATCTAGCAGCTGGAGAGAAATAGAAAACTTCAGATCATCTGTCCCCTGTGAGGAGAGGGGAAGATTAAAGTTATGGTGTGCTGTTAAACACAAGCTTGTTTCCTGAGACCCTTGCTCAGAGGGAGCTGTTGATAAGAACAAACTGGTACTATCTCATAATAATAAGTGAACAAGAATGTGCATTCCATCCAAGAGAACTGTAATGTCCTGTACTCTCATTAAATTCAGGATGTCAAATACAACAGAGGTCTAATTTTATGGGAATGGAGAAGGATACTGTCTGACTGTACAGTATTTTACTCATCTCTCAATAACAACTTCACTCTCATTTACCCTAAGTCGTCACTTACTGGGTCATTATACCATGACATGGTTAACCTGATGTTTGTGTGCACAGGTAACTGCCAGGTCCCAGCTGGAATCTGGGAACAAAGCAGTTTTACAGATGCAGTAATGGAAAGGTGTGAGTTTCCCATCATGGCAGTGTGCTGATCCCAGCAGCTCATCCTGAGGGTGAACTGTGCTGCCAACCCGTGGTATATGGAATTCATGAGTTAGCCATGTGAACACATCAAGCTTATGAGGTTAAGTAACATTTTTCTTTGATAATAAATTTGCATTCTTCTAGTAAGCTTTTGTGTTTCTGAGTTGGGATCAAAATGTCTAGCTTTTCCCTAGCATCATAAGGACGGTATCTGCACTCTTTTCTATATTTTTCTTTTTCAAAGAAAGCCAAGACAAGAATAACCAAGTAACATGTAATTTACAAAAAGAACATACCATCTTTTTAAAATATCATATAAAACTGGCCCCCTACCAGAGGCAAATTTGCAGAAATACTTTAGTGTACCGTTCTGAAAAAGAACACATTCCTCAAGCTATTATTAAAAAAAGTTACTCATGAAGAACTATCCATCTGTGTCTGAAGTTAGTAGCTGTTTGCAACAACGCAACTTCTGTCAGTTGTACTTTCACAAATCAATAAGAAAGCAAAATGAAAAACCAGAAGAAAATAAATCTATAAACCAACTCCTCCTGGAAAATGTCCACGGTGGAGTTATGCTTCAGCCTGGGTTTAAATCCATATACATCACCCCTGCTGCCCATGTTTATGTTAGACCACGGAAGATTTGTGGTTGACCTACATATGCAAACAAAACATTTGCCGCATATTTGGGGTGGGGGGGATTTGCATGATAGAAGATGATGAAAATATGCATAATTGCGGATGACATTTCTCATTCCCCAGTCCTGCTGCACAGCCCTTTGGAGCTGGCCATGCATGAAAGAGGCTGCAGTCCTGACGGGCAGATCGCCTGTGCCGAACCGCCCAGACATTGAGCTTCTGTTTGTTCTGGAGCAGCGCAAATCTGGTATAATCATCTCACCAAGCAGCCCCTCTGCTCACAGAGGGCACGGACAACACTAACTGAGGGAGCTGAAACCACGAGTTCCACATGTCACCGCCGAGCTCACGTCACGTGACGGCTTCAGAGACTCACTTAAAGATTTTGTTTGCGAGTTTTCTTGGTCTTCCTCAAATCCCCAATGCAACAGAGGGTAACAACACACAATTTCAGTCAACGGTGGCTAATTTATCTATTCTTGCCTCCGCATTTCATCCCACAGCAGCATTTCTAGGAAGTCTGCTGGTGTGTTAGTACACCAGAGACTTTGCTCTAAAAATTGCACCAACACAAGTAAGTATTAATAATGTTGATGAAGTTGCATGACAAACCCAGATCTCCTAGGATGGTAAAGCATGCACAGATCCCTCAGCTCTCACAAGGATGATATGGAAGTGCTTTCCTGTAACAGAGCTTTTGTCTGCCATTACTGGATGTCTGTCTGGTTGTTCTTGCTATGTCACATCTTATTTATCATTTAAAATCTCTGCAGCGCTGCTGTGCAGAAATAAGCACTTAAAATGGTTAGAAGAAGGGAGGAAAATTCCTTGGCATCAAGACCAAGTCTCCTTTGGAAAGCTGAAAGCATACAGTGGATCTGCAGCAACTTTATCTGAGTTGTGAAGGTGGGTTTGGAAAAATATGACATGATCTGACGGGAACAACAGCTCCCTTCTCTGTAAATCAGCTGAGGAACCGATAAAAGAACACTCTGCAGGACCACAGTCGAGGCCTCTTCAAAAAATGAAGAAGAGGGATTTACATGCAGAGTAAATGGCAGTGCAGGCAGAAATGTGCACCCATGTGAGAGAAAGAGGAGGAAAGAAATCTTGGTAGCCGGTGCCTGAGAAAGAAAGCTGATCCAAACCTGTTCCCTGCAAAAACACTTGCAGCTCTGAGCCAAGAAGCTGTCTTGGTGCTTCACTCCTACTGTGTTCAGAGAAACGGGACTTTCTGTGAGTGCTTTGCACATCAAAGGAATAACTCCTCAGTACCTCCATGTGATGCAAACACCCACCATGGGGTTTGGCCAACTGCTCGGTCAAGAGGGGGTAATGCTACTCAGGGTTTGTTTATGCTAAATCCGTGACGATGTCCTGTGTAACTGTTTCATTCCACACACTTGCCAGTCTTATTGTCCAGAAGAAAAGGCGTACAGATTTCTTACTTCCAGTGGAGTCAAAGAATTTTTTTTGACCAACAAACAAATTAAAAAGTTAACAGCTTTTTAAGTCTAGCAACCTTCAAACTCAATTCTCAAACACAGATCCAAACCATTAACCTCGGGAGAGTTAAGACCTGTGAAAAGTTCACAGAAGTTCATGAACAGGGAATATTAAACACCTCCATTCAATTGTGATCTAACAGAGACTGGCACTTCAAGCTTTTTTAAATCACAGTTGCCTTCTTTTTCTCAGGATTCCCATGAGATGTTTCTTTCCTCCTACCCAAAGGATTTTGTAATCTGTGGGATACTGGAGAGCACCAGGATGGGAATAAAAAGACCATTCTTGTTATTTCATCCAGTACTTTCTATCGGATTTAAAAATGTAATTATCCTGAGCAAAGTCCATATGCTCCCACATCTATAGGAATGCTCTTGTAGCAATGGGAGGGTAATGAGGAGAAACTCTGAGCAGCTCAGCACGATGGCAGGTTCATGCACGCCTCAGCTGAAATGAGTATTGCAGAATCAATGCAGAGACTCACCAGTAGTGGCTGTGTTAGGTTCTTTCCCCTTATGAGTTGAGCTTTGCTGGCGTTAGCATCAAAGGAAGCATGAGCATAGGCTGACTGGGTGGCATCTCCTCCTCCTTGGGCTTAGGAGAACCAAAGACCTGAATCTTGCTCAATCAGTCCAAGGGCATCTGCACACAAAATCTAGGTTATTCATTCAGGTCAACAGATATTTTTTTAATCAAGAGATATGCAAGATAAGAAAAGTGCCATGAAACGTTCTAAGTATGCACTTAAACATCAGCACAAAGACCACACAAAAAAATCACCAACAAAAAACTAAACCCATGCATCTGCAGGCGAGATGTGTATCTAGAGGAGCATCTTGGACAGAAACCAACTGATGTATTAACATACCTGAGACAAACCCCATATTGAGTTATGCTGCATAAAAGAAGGATTAGCATAAACATGTGAATATTTAAATGGCAATATAATGCAACATTTTAACTTGGAAGGAGAAAAGCCTGTCTGGAAACAGAAAACCTTAGCAAAGACAGAAGGCTGACCACAGAACCTTCACCAGCACCAGTGCCAGGAGGAGTTGCTAATACCACAAAATACTTGAACATGTAGGGTCACAGTCTGTGAACCAATATTAATTCCTGGAGCTTTTACTCCCTCTCCTAATTATAAGTTTCTGGATTTTTGGCTCATGCCCATCTCCCACTGACTTACAAATACTCAGAGATGCCAAGAAGCTCAGGGTGATTACGCCCCTAAGATGGAGACAGGGACTTGTGCCGTGTCTGCCTGTGGCCAGAATTTTCTCTCTTGCTAGTGTGAAAGCCACATTAAAGGTGATGTCCAACAACGTTCAAACCTCCGTCTGGGGAGTTATTTATACGACAAAAAGTTACAACTGATCACTCAAAAATTAATTTGGGGAAACCCAGATGAGATCCACTGGAACCCATGCAACCCTCCACTCTCTGGATTCTACATAGTTCACATTTCTGATCATTTCTGTAAATGGAGTGCGGCTGCAATAACAGCCAGAAGACAAAACTTGGGTCCTGCCATCACAGCTGTGCACAAAGCTCATCCCTTCCCCATGCTGGTGCCCACTGAAAGGAATGTCACGCTCAGGCGTGCCAGTGTCCCAGAGTGGCATCTGTGAGGGCTCACCTGTGCCTGGCAGTGCCTTGCCACCGAGACGAAGCTGGAAGGAAAGAACACCCCGAGCACACAGGGTGCCACAAATCCTCAGAGTATATTGAGTCACGCAGCAGACATGGACATGACTGTGTGTCAGGCTTGGGAGAGAGGGCACGTGCTAATTACTAACAGGGCTGTAAGTCACATTAACACTGGACACACATAATGGGTTTAGGTGACCACTCACACAGGAGCTGCTGTGATCCCAGATCATTGTGTATCTACCTGTTTAGAGTTTCTAACACGGCAAATGTACATACATTTACAGCCTGGGTTTGGCATTCTGTGCCCTCCCAGGGTCTGACATGGCATTGCTTCTCTGGTTCAAAGGGCACTGTCTGGCCAGGACATCCTGGACCTGTGGAGACAAACCCTCCATGACCAAACTTCAACCAGGTGCCTCATGTGTGTTCAAACCCAGGGAGCCATCCTTGTGAGGCCAGACCTCCCTTCCGGATTCGCAGGGCTCTGCTCCCTCCAGAGCGCCCGGGCAGCGCCCGGGGTCTGGAGCATCGCTCTGAGGAGGGGAGGCTGCGGGAGCCGGGCCTGGTTAGTCTGGAGAAGAGAAGGCTGAGAGGGGGACACCAGCGGAAAGAGTCTGGCACCATCCTCTCGTTACCTGCCTTCAGCAGCCGGTGGCTGGCGGAGCCCCGCGGCGGGGCCGGGGCGGGGCGGCCGGGCAGGGCCGGGCAGGGCCGGGCGGCTCCCGCCGCCCCCCGCATCACATGAGGGAACTTCGGGCCAATGGCGCCGCGGCGGGGCCGGGGCCCCGTTCGCTCCCGCGGACGCTCATTCAAAACGCGGCCGGGCTCGGGTGCCCGCAGCCCCGCACGGCGCCCGGGGCTCGGCGGGGCGGGCGCTGCCGGCCGCGATGCCCGGCGCGGCCGCGGGCTGAGGCGGCCGCCCGCCCGCCGCCATGCCGGTGAAGAACCGGTACAACCTGGTGGACGATGGCTGCGACTCCCGCGTCCCGCTGCACAACGAGGAGGCCTTCCAGCACGGCATCCACTTCCAGGCCAAGGTGAGCCCCGGGCGCGCTCCCCTCCCCAGCCCCCGGGGCGGGGGGCGCAGCGGGTCCCCCCCGCCTGTCACAGCCCCGCGTCCCCCCGTGCTCGGGGGCTTTGGCAGCGGCCCCCCGGGCTCCCCCCTCTTTGCCCCGGGCTGGGGGTCCCCGCGGGCCGGGGTCCGGTGCTGTCCAGCACCCACCGGGGTGGCACCCGCTGGCCGCGGGCCTTTGGCCCCGTGGCTCCAGGCCAGGCTCGCCGTGCCCCCCTCCAGCCCTGCCACGGGCTGTCCCTTCAGCTCTGGAAGTGCCCCTGGGCCAGGCAACCGTGGGCCAGGTCTAAGGGAGTCTAAAGAAAACAGCCATCAGTTATGAAAGCCTTACGTTTAATTAGCACAATCAAACAGGTTCTTGCGCTTTTCCCGGTATTTTGCGAGCTGTGTAATCCTTAGGCGCTGCCTTGTGCACCTCGTTTGGGAGCTGGTCTGGGATGACCCCTCCTGACAGCACCATGGACACTGTGCCAGGTGCACGTCCCTGCCCGACCGGGTGCCTGTCCTGTCCCCCATCGGGCAGAACCCCACTCCTGTCACGGTGGGGTAACAGCTCCCTATTCCCTTAGAAACCAGCAGACTATGTGCTCCTTAAATAATAGTGCCTTGCTCCATTTGACCCCTTCACTGCACAAAAAGCAGGGCGGGCAAGGTCTGCAGCCTTCAGGCATCAGAAAGAAATACTGATATCGTCAGAAATTTCGTATTGATCATGAGGAACAGCCTGGCAGCACAGCAGCACTCTCAGAGAGTGACTCCATTGGAATTGGCATTCTGTAGACAGCACAGGGAACGGGTTTATAATTCAGCTGACAAGAAGAACTGCATTTTGCTGGAGCAACTCACAGGCTCACTTCCCCTCTTTGCAGGTGGCCTAACACAGATTAGAAATGGAATTCACGCCTGCTGTCTCCTGAGCTGGAAAGAAGGGGCATATACATTCCAATAAAGCTTTGAAATACAGATTTTGTGCCTTTTGGTTTTCCTACTAAAAGAGCTGTAAGATTTAAGCAGGATATGGGATGAATTTGAATAGGCAGCTAATTACATATTTTAAAAAATTTCTCTTCCTTGGGGGGAGAAAAACAAATAATCTGCGATTTATTGAGTTAAATTAACATTTGCTGGGCTGCACACTGTGCCAAGGAGAAAAAAAAAAATTCTTATTTTGATTTTTAAAAGATGGGAAGCAACTGTACCTTTAACTGAGTGAAACTGGCTTCTTCAGATTGACAGCTGCAGGCATCCAGAGCTGGGGAGTGGATAACAGGCTGTTAGGATGTGTGGGTCTGGGATGGGGTTTGCATTGCTGTAGTAACTGAGCTTGCTTGGTTCTGCTCTATAGTCTGTCTCTTCCAATTAGGCTGCTCATTGTGGCCACATCAGTCAGCTGGGACGCTGACAATGGCAAGGCTGCAGCTGGCTGCAGGTGTCCCTCACCAGGCAATCCTACTGACCACACTCACTCTCTAATCTCCACATTCCAAACTCCCTTGCTTCCCCTGTAATCTTCGGGAGGTCAGAACTGGGAGCTGCTTGCGGAAAGGTGGCTGTTTGGGCAGAGCTTCACGTGCTGTTTTCATGAGCTTCGTGGCTCTGTGTGGGAGCACAGGTACCCAAACTCTGCAGCAAGGCCAGAGCAGGGAGTTTGGGACAATCTCCTCTGGCTCAGCAGTCACCAGCTCTCCTCTTGACCCAATAAATTTAGCAATTTAGCCTGTTCCCCACTGCAGCTCTTTTGTGGCAGACAAAAGGCCAGCTGGCTGCATGGAATTCCTCTGGATTACCTGTGACTGTACTGACAGCCATGGCAGAGCAGGGAAGGAGAGCTGCACACCAAAGAGGCCACAGATCTGGAGCAATACAGCCCTGCTTTCCCCACCAGCCCAGAGGGAAGCCCTGGCTCTGATGCTCCCCTCCCTGCTGCCCTCAAGCTCTTGCGGTCTGAGTTTGGCTCTCCTGTGGTTTACCAAAGGCTATAGCTGAATTTAACTGCTCTTAAAAATGCCATTTTACAAAGGCATTTACAGAAGCAGCAGCAAAGCCAGATGACCTTTCAGATTGCTTGCGGTGTTTATTTCAAGGCAGGAGAAAGAGCAGTAAAGACTGAGCCAGGAGAGCTCATCTCTGAAAGCCCTTTTAAGTACACATTTTACAAGATAAAACCCATTGCAAGCTGCAAGTGTTACAGTGGAGAAATAAAACCAGAACTATGTCAGTAACAGTGATAGCTGTGGGGCTGCTCTTGGGGTATTATTTTGTCTCTGTTCATAAGTATATTATCACCCTGAATGTTTGCAGGGGCCTCCTGATTAGCTGCTCCTCCTTCTCCTTTCCTCTCCGCAAGGAAACAACTTCCAAAAAAACCCCCCTCAACTAAACCACACACCAAAAACCAGATGCAGCTCATGAACCAAATGCTCCTGGGAGGCTCACTAAGCTTTGGGAACTGCCCTCTGCCCCCCCACTGACAGCAGAGATGGGGCCCCACTGGGATCCTGCCAGCGCCAAGTCTGGCACCTGCCCCTGACTGCCAGGGCCACACCTGGCACACACTGGCATTAGTCATCGGGCCCTCACCCTCTCACTCAGATGACATTCTTCCTGTCCTCACCAACGTGCCCCTGACATGCAGTGAGCCACACCACCTCACAGCACGAGAGGCCTTTGCTCCCCACACATTGTGACTGCCCAGGAAGCCGCATATTTTCCTGGTTCCCCAGCCTGAGCTGGCAGCTTTGTGCCTCCTCCACTTGGCAGCACAGGCAGCACTCCTGTGCCTCTGTGCCACATGTGCTGTCACCGGTCCCCCTGTGCAGCAGCAGCTGCCTCCTGCCACCAGGTGCACGAGCAGGTTCTGCTCTGGCGCACAAGCGTTACAACCCAGCACGAGGGCAGAGTACAGGCAGCACAGGGGCAGCAGGAAGCTGCCTGCAGGTCTTCCCTGACAACCCCTGGAGCATCTGCAACATACTGCCATTCCATGCAGGAGAACAGGCAACCAACTCACAGGAGGCTCTAAGTGTTCTGGTAGAGGTGGAGGTGCTGGGAACCCACCCACCATCTGCCACGTCTCAGACCCCAGCAAGGGGCCGAGTTAGAACTGGAGCCTACACTGAAATGCTGACACTCAACACCAAGGGCAGCCCAGTCTTACCATGGTTAGGACTGCAGCTCTTCTAAGCAGAGTTAAAAACAGGGGTGTAGGGGACAGATTTGGGTGGGCTTACCAGGATTCTACAGACAGCTGAGCTGGTCCAACCAAGCAGGGACAGTGGTGTCCAGGGAGACACCTTCAATCTGATGGTCCAGACTGAAAACTTAGGCCAGAATCAGAAGCCTTTTCCAGGAAAGCTGTTTGCAACCTTCCAACTCTTACATGCTTTTAGTTCTGAGCCTTTTAAAAGCAGGTGGAGCAGGGAAGAACAAAGGATGGACAGTCCCATTTTCAGACCCACAGGATTGTAACTCAATTAGCAGCAGACATTGCCCTGCAAAGCACTGGTAAAGGCACATCCAGAATCCAAATGAGGTCAGAACCTCACACCTGACCTTAAAAATCCATGAACTCGCTGACTTTGATAACATTATCCACCACACATATTCCTATCATCTCCTGGGTCAAGAGAGTCTAGCCAAGGAGGGACTAAATAAATGAGAGATGCTGTTTGTTTTGAAGAACACCATTGACCTGTGCATTGCTGAACAGATATCTCACTGTTCTTTCAGTACATCGGCAGCTTGGACGTCCCCAGGCCCAACAGCCGCGTGGAGATTGTGGCAGCCATGAGGAGGATCCGGGTAAGTTCAAAAGAGCTGAGCCCACGTGGAATAAAGGGTTACATTCCATGGAGTGACTTGGTCACAGTGTGCTGTTCTGCATTCCCCCCCAGCCCTTCCTATCTGCAGCTCAAATCTCAGCACAGTCGAGTTTGTAACAAGCTTCTCCTGAAATTCCCAAGGCATCTTAGGAGAGATCCATCCCCTACTCTTTGCAAAAGGATCAGTTAGCAAAACTCAAACATAAACCCCTCTTCTGTGCTGAGGAGGTATGGGGCTTCTCCTTGACCCTAAGAGATGTATTTATCCTGTATGGAGCTTTGTGTGTGTGAAAAATAAGCTGAACACAATCTGCTCCACAAAAGCACTTAAATTCATTGACAGTTCCAAATATACTGTGTTATTATATATTGACACATCGGTGGCCTGACAGATGTGATGGATGTAAATCCCATCTGACTAGACTTTGTGGATTCTGCTGCTCATGGAATAATTTGCTGCTCTTCCCATCCTCCAGTACAGTTTTACAGTTCTTGTTTCTCACCACCAAGCCTGTGCTCTTCCTCCTCTACCCCTTTGTTCTGCAGAGCAGGCTGTGAATGGTCACCAGATTTAGCTGTGATTAGCAGGGTGGGTAGCTCACATCTGCTTCATGTATAACCAGTTCAAGTGCATCTCCCCCAAAAGGCAGTGCAGCTGCTGTGTCTGGCTGAAGTTTTGCAGGGGTCTTAATTCTGAGGCTGTTCATATGTCTCACATCAGCTGAAGCAGGTTTGAGACTCTTCCATCTAAAGCTTTGAAGGGATTATCCTATTTTCTCCCCTCCCCCCACAGTGTTTAACCATCTAATTTTCCTTCAGAATAGTGCTTTTTAAACTTAGCCTGTAACTGGCTGGGGAGCTGATGTATTCATCTCCAGCCAAGCTCAGAAATGACATTCCCCTCCCTTTGCCTGCTCAGACTATTAGCACAGCTCTTGCTCAGAACACAGTGCAGCAGCAGTCTAAATTGCCTGGTTATTTATGGAACAGGTGAACATCTATAGGAAGCAAAGGCAGTAGGTGAAGACCACCAGGGCATTTTAGGTGCTGGCATAACTACTGACAGTTTTTCATCTGAATCAGTATTTATCATCAGATTTGACACCGCACTTCTGCTGATCTTTGCCTGGATAACACCCTTGACAGAAAACCTCGAAAAAGCAAATCATATTTTAATATCACTTAAAGTGTTGCATTCCATTTTCACACCTGCTGTTGCCACAATGGTACGTGGTTCAGAGCCTTGGGAGTGCAACAGCATGCTTGAGTGTACAAGAAATATAAAAACCCACTTCTGCATCCCTGGATGCCATCAGTTAATCTTATCACACAATATTTTTAAAGTAGGCATCCTGTATTCTATCGTGGGTTTTTAATCTTGGAAGCCTGTTCCAAAAAGGGAGGGCCTTCCCTTTTCATGTGCACATTGTACAGCAGGATCTTATTCAGACACTTCCTGGCTGCTGAGCGGAAGATGCTCCTCTATTGAAGATAGTTAATTGGCACTGATCCTTAATTAGAGCATAAAGAATGAACTGGGAGGTCTTTGAAGAGAATTCTAGTGCACAGAGTACCCAACCTAGGAACTGAGGGAAGATGGGGTTTATTTATGTAGCATTCATTTGCATGCAGAGGCCTTGCCTGTACTGGAGTTTTTTCCCATGGGCTCTCAGCAGCACCAGTTGCAACTGGGAGGAAACAGTGGAAGAAGCTGTTGAGGGAAGTGAGTATTCTGCTGCCACATTATTGTGAGTGGTGGTGCCTGTTTGCACTGCAAGCGTGAGTAAGGTCCCGCAGCCCTGCCAAGTGCTGGCAGGGGCACGTCGTGCTGGAGCTTTCATCCTTTGTGCTCTCCAGTGTTCCACTGGAATTCTCTACTGGAGCGGAAGGGAAAAGTCGCACGGTACAAGCCCCAGCACAACATTCCCTGTGCTGCTCCCTGTGCCCTGTGACACGGGAGAGGCGGGAGCCAGCCCACAGCACAGCCAGGCTGTTACTCACCGCTGCTGCCGCGCCGGGAGGGACACAGGGAGGAGGATGAGGAGTCACAGCTCCCTTTTCCAGGCTGTGACAGAGCTGGTTACTCTAGTTACTCATCGGTAAATTGATACAAGCTCCAAAACTGCCTTCCCACTACAATGTCTCACTGCTGTGATGAAAAGCGCTTTCCCCAGGGAAAAGCCTCCAGCTACCCAGCACTCCAAGTGCCCTGAGAGGGCCATAAGGGAAGTAGCAACTCCAAATGCTAAGCCTTGTCCTGTGTTTATGCTGGCCTCTTCTACCAGTTGCACATGAATTACACCAGGGAACTGGGGAGCAGTTCAGTGGGATTCTCCATGCATTAGAGAGCAGCCTGCTTACAGACTTTGCTCTCAGGGAGCCTCAAACAACACATTTTAGCATTAGCCCGCTGAAATCGTGACCTGCTCTTTGGCAGTAAGTATTTAAGATGCACTCTCCTAGTAAAGCTTAAATCCATCTTCCAGGCTGAATGGATGCTTGTAGAATTGCTAGCAATACTCCATTAGTCACACATTAGATTCCCATTTCATAACAGACTGGAAAACCTTGTCTCATCATGTTCTATGTTTCCACTGGAGGGAATGCAAATGCAATAGGTAGAAGAGGGAAGCTGCTGTTCTTAGCTTCCCATTATGCAGAGCTAGACAACTTTAAGTTTGCTAATCCTCCCAATGGATTATTAGCTGCATACAGCTGCCATGTTGTTATTATACGATCAGAGTTCAAACTAATCCCTCTACCTCTTGCCCTGGCAGGGGAGGTGATGAAATGAGTTAGCTGCTTGGATAAGTACACTGTACTCTGACAGGCATGTTAAGTGTCTGTTTATCAGAGTCCAATTCATCCTGCAGCTCCAAGCACCCAGGCAGGAATTCCTCCACCTCCCAGGGAGCAGCATCTGCTGCCTGCGGCTGCCCGAGGCCATCCAGGTCTGGGTGTCTGACAGCTCCTGCTCACGCTCCTGTGCTCCGTCAGCGTCCTGGTGGAGCTGGCTTTCTGCTGGAGTGGATTCATCTGCAGGTATTTGAGCCTTCTCAGCACTCCAGGGAGCTTATGCACAAGGTTTTTCCTCCTGCACAAGTCAAGTGGTTGCTAATGTGAAGATGGGTTTCGTAAAACACAAAATGTTTCCTTGAAGCTCCTGAGGTTGCTCAAAATATCTTAGTCTGGAAGACCAGGCTTTAAGTGCAAGGTTAATATCACCACATTATCCTGCATCCATTCCCCAGAGCCAGCACTGACCAGAGCAGAGAGTCAGCTGTTCCCTTCCTAGAGCAACACTCCCCTCAGTCCAGCACTTCACAGCCAGTCGAGCAGCCCCAGTGAAGTGCTGCTATTTTGAGTGGTGAGTTGTACAAGGACAGAGTGGGAGTAAGTGTCAAAGCCTGTCATCCCCACAGACAGCCTGCTGCAGCAATTCCCCAAGACACTCCATTTAAATACCTCTAAGGCACAGAATCAGCTTCCTTGGAATTTGCACTTACATATCTCTGAAGCCTAGAAATTTCAGTTCTGTTTGGAAGGTCTAGCTTGGACCTAAGCAGGTATTGACACTGAGAAAGGCGCCAGATGTTGGATTATTTAATCATTCCATAAGGGAACAGCCAGCTGGTGCAGTGCCCATCCAAACACCAGGATGAACAAACAAGAGGCAGGCATCCAGACTACTGTTTCTTCTGTTACCTCCACATTTCTTGCACTTAATTTAATCAATAAGCCTTTTTCCCCAGAGGCCAGTGTGCCAGAGAAACAAACATTTATAATTCTTAACACAGGATATATCAGAGGTGCCTGAGTTCTCCTTGGTGTGAGAACTGGGTTCTCACTTCAGCCTCCCTCTTGCCCTGATCACTCTTACTGCATCCATGCTTTAAGCAGAGCCTCAACACTCTGCAGTTCCTCCACATGGTATTTGAGTGAGGAAGTGCAATCCTGCCACACTGCAAGTCAGAGTGACTGCCAAATATCAACTGGTAGTGCTGAAGTGCGACATGACAGCAATTTAAATCAGGATGAGTAAGTTACAATCCTACAGTTGCAAACTTGAGAAGCAGAGGCAGCAGAGACAGCCACACAGAACCTGCCTCTGCACTCCAGCAGCTCCCAGTCTGAGAGCTGGGCTGGCTCACACAGCAGCTCACTCTCAGAGCCCTGCCAGGCTGTAAATTGCAATGGTTCAGGAGCAAATATGGATGTGATTTATCTGCTCTTGCCACAGAAGGAGAGGAACCAGGTGGACAGCTGGCAGAGGGCAGGGCGACCGCCTTCAGCCCTCTCAGCTTAATTTATCACTGTGATAGAGATGTTTCACAGACCCATTAGTGAGATTGTTCTAGAACAGTTCCCTCAGTTTTCCCAGGCACACAGCCTTCTCACTACACATATATAACTTGGTCCAAGACATCCTTGACATACAGCCCTTCTCTTCTCCAGGCAGCTGGTGCCCAGAGCAGGGGTGTGTCCCATTATCCAGCCCACCCACAAGACTGCTCAGCTCCAGGCACTACGGTCTCAAAAACACCAGTTACTCCCAGGGTCCCATCCACAACAGGCATCTGAGCCAGTTTAAGGTTTCTACCACACAAGATTAAGCTAATTGGGTTTACCTTTCCAGGCCCTGGCAAAATAAAGCAAGTGTTTTCAGGATGGTAATTAAGTGTTAATTGCAGCTAAGTTTAGCCCTAATGCCTCATTAGTTTGTTTTCCTCTATTTGTTACAGCTATAGCAGAGTCTCCAGCTCAAGGAGGGGGATCAGGATGGGCTTCCCAGGAGGCAGGATTCCCACCGTGTGCTCTGAAGGTCCTACCTGAGCCTTGCCAGGCAGCCTCTTACCTGCTCCCATCCAAGAGGAAGAGACTGGGTGGGGAGCCAGAGACCCCTAGACCTCTAATTAGGCTCTGATTAGAATCTAGGCAGCAGCCCTGCAGAATATCTAGTGTGCCCACACACCCATTTCC